GTATTATAGAAATCTCATTCAAAATAATTTTAAAATATCTGGAAATTATTCAACCTTTAAATATAGAAGCTAACATTTAGATGGTGCCTATTATGTGCCAGGCACTGTGCTAAGTGCTTTATAATTATTATCTCATTTAATCCTCTCAAACACCATGTGAGGGAGGTACTATTATTATACCCATTTTGTATATGAGAAAACTGAGGCAAACAGAGGTGAATGGCTTGCCCAGGGTTACACAGCTAGGAAGTGTCTGAGGTCACATTTGAACTCAGGTCTAATTTGCTCCAGGCCCAGTGCTTTGGGCACTACGGCGCCATCTAGCTGCCCAGGTAGTCTACCAAGCTAGTCTACCAGTATACACTCAAAACTTAAACCGTGTAGGTGGCAAGATGGTGGTCCATTAGGACCCAGATGAGCCTATATCCCCCACAAACACCCTAGTAAGAATATAAAAAGATACCCAAAGGAGCAGTGATATGGAAAATCAAAGCAAAACAGTTAGAAATTCTGTCTGGTCCAGGACTACAGAAAAAAGACTTTTAGAATCTAACAGAAGCTCTGAAGGGTAGAAGACAAAGCACACTTAGATCCAAAGTAAGAGATGGGTGTAGGTTACACCCAGGCAATGCTCAGGTAGAACTGTTTGAGCCCCATCTGGAGGCAGATGCTGAGCAGCAGAGACAGGGAGCATTCCCACACACAGAGATGAAAAGCAAGCTGAGACAGAGCACCAGGACAGGAAGCACCAGAGCGGAAAGAAATCTCAAGGAATCCCTGAAGTAGCACTGAGTACAGGAACAAGTGCCACTTAACAGCTCTCTTGCCTACTACTCATTTTCAGGTCACAGATTCAGGGCATGAAGGAGGGGTCATGAGCCAACCAAGCATGGACCTTAGCCCTAACTGTGTATCAAGCAAGGAACAAATTCTGAAAACCTAGCTGTCCAGAAACAGAGCAGTGACTCAGTTCTAGCCTTTAACCCAGCACATAAGCCTGGAGTGCAACGACCAAGTCAAGAGTGCCAGATCAAAGGGGAGTCAGCAGTTCAGTAGTTAACTGCACTGCAGTAGCTTAGAGTGACTTGAGTCCAGCAGGGGTCTGTTGAAATTCAACTGCACACAAGCAAAGAGACCCAAACCTGGGTCAGGAACTTGCAGAGCTCAGTGAAAGAGGGCAGTGAATAGACTTTTCCCCAGATCCCACCATTTTGGAAACACTGAAAGCTTTCAGTCCCCCAGACTGAGCTGTGAAAGCAGCGGAAGGGTCTAAAAGGACAGAAGCTCAAGGCAGACATCCCCTCCATTAGAGTGCAGAGCCTAACACTAACATAAACTGCAAAGTCAAGAAGTAAGTGGGAAGAATGAACAAACAACAAAATGAACCAGACATAAACAACTACTATGGAGACAGGGAAGCTCAAGATACAAATACAGAAAGAGGGAATGACTAAAATATCTACAAGGAAAGCCTCAAAGAAAAATTACAGATTGGCCACAAGCCCAACAAAAATTCCTAAAAAAGTTAAAGGTTTAAAAAAAAAGAGCAAAAAATTATTTTAAAGCCATATAAGAGCTATGGAAGAAAGATTTGAAAAGAGAATTAATAGCTTAGTTGGAAATAAAAAAGGTCCATGGAGAAGAAAATGGCAAACCACTCCAGTATCTTTGCCAAGAAAACCCAAATGGGGTCACGAAGAGTTGGAAACCACTGAACAACAAAAAAAAGGTGCAAAACATTACTGAAAAAAATAACTCCATGAAAATTAGAATTGACTAAATGGAAGATGATGACTTCATGAGACATCAAGAAATAAAACAAAATCAACAGACTGAAAAAAAAAGAAGAAAATGTGAAATATCTCATAGGAAAAATAGCTAACCTGGAAAGCAGATCAAGGAGAGATAATTTAAGAATCACGGTACTTAATGAAAGTCATGAGCCAAAATTGAGCCTAAGTATCATATTTCAAGAAATCATAAAATGGCCCAGATATCTTAGAATCAAAGGGCAAAATGGAAGTTGAAAAATTCCCTGGTTACCTCCTTAAAAAAATTGAAAATTCCCAGGAATATTTAGGCAAAATACAGAGAATTTTGTATTTGATCCCAAAGGTGATAGGGAGCCATTGGAGTTTATTGAGTATGAAGGTGCCATGGTTGGAGCTGTGCTTTAAGAAAATCACTTTGGCAGCTGAATGGAAGATAGATTGGAGTTGGGGAAAGATTTGTGGCAGTCAGACCCGCCAGCAGGCTATTGCAATAATCCAAGTATGAGTTGATGAGGACCTGTACCTCATGAGCGGAGTGGCAGGAGAGAAGGTATAGAGTAGAGATATTACAAAGATGAAACCAATATGCCTCGGCATTTGTAACATTGAATATGAGGATGAGAGTGAGAAGTTGAGGATGATACTTAGGTTTTAAGGCTGGGGAGCTAGGAGAGTGGTTTTCTCCTTGACAATAATAGGGAAATTTGGAAAGGGGGAGAATTTAGGGGGAAAGATAATGAAAAAGTTGAAGATTTTATAGAAAAGGGGGATAATTGAGGATGAAATCTGCTAGAGAAGATGGGAGAGGATGGTATTACACGTATATGTAGAAGAACTGGCCTTAGCAAAAAGAGCCACCTCTTTATTAGAGCCTGAGAAAAAGGATGAAAAAGTGGAAAATTATGTTAAGGAGTTTTTGAGATAAAGAACATGGAAGAGAGCTCAAGTCAAATGGCCTCAAAATTCTCAAAAAAGTATGAGCCAAGGTCCTCAGCTGAGGTGGAAGTATGGGAAGTTTGATAAAGGGAGAGAAAATCTGGAATATCCTCCAAGGAAAGTGAGATAGGGAATTAATTAGGGAGTTATAAAAGACTGGACTGCCTTGCTTCATTTGAGGTTCGATAACATGATTTTGTAATGTTCCTCATGAACACTGTTGTGAGACTTCAGCTGTATTCAGCAGCTTGTAAGTTCAATTGGAGGTTGTGGATGTTAGGAGTAAACTAGGACTGAGGTTTGGCAAGAGAATAGAAGCAATAGGACAAAGAAAAAGAGAGACAAAAGCAAATGACTGTGTAGATCTGAAATGGATTTCTGTTGGTTTGAGGTTGGAAAGGGAGGAAAGGGATATCACAGTTAGGAGCACTAACCTAAGATAGTGCCAGGATAGAGGAAGTAGAGTTTCACTGAGGACCAAGAACAGGCCTGGGGAGAGGTGAAGCATAAGGAGAGATGGAATGTTAGGAGGTTCTAATTAGGAAAGTGAAACACATGTGGCTAATTAGGTATTGGCAAGATCGAATGTGTGAACATTGGTATAAGTGACTGAGGTAGAGTGAAGGTCATGGGATTTTAAGGAGGCTTAGGAATTGGAAGGTTAAGGAGTTTCAGGGAAGAAGCCCTCTAGTGTAAGGGGAGGTGTTGGGAAGAATGGGAAGATGTTGAGCCAGGTACTGAACTCTTTAAGTAAGGAGACAGGATGACCTGGGGTGGGGGGTGGGGCGTCAATCTACTGTAGCTACTATAATTTGAATTGAGTGGAAAATTTTGTTTGAGTGGCCTTCACTGGAGGAAGAGTTGCTGAGTTAAGGAGGCAAAGGCAGAGCTAGAACTGACAACAGGGAGTGGGGAATATTCCTACATTCCCTGAAAGAACATTTTGTCCATGACTATGAGAGAAGATACAGCCCATGTTGGAGGTGAAAGCCAGTGATGCAATGTCATTAGATGAGAGCTAGGTCTCAGCAAAGACTAATAGATTGAAGGAATATGAGAGAAAAGAAGTCCAAGATAAAGAGAAATGAGAATTTCAGAGAATATAGTGAAAGAGATAGACAGTGTTGCATTGGGATATGTGTGAAGTAGGGCTGAGAGGTATGCAGATAAGAAATCTGAAGGAGGAAAGACAGTTTTCTCTCACTGATGGGGCAGTGATTGGTAAGTTCCAGGATAAGGGAGAAGCCAAAGGAGTGTTAATGGTAGATGAGTAGAGAAGCTCACACTCTTTAAGGAATGTTACAGAGGGAAATGGATCTGCATCTTCCCCTAGGGGGTGGGGGTCAGGTTAGTGCTTTTACTAGCATCATTGTGAGTATGATGGACAAAGACCATGTTTTTTCATTTCCATTTAAATAAAACTTGTATATACAAGTTAATTCCTTATATTTTGGATAGAGGTATGTATAATGATGATCAAAGGATTTTGCCAGTGTATTTTATTCCTCTGTATATCCTTGCTAATTTTAAAGTGATTTGGTCTAGAGAAAATATTTTGAAGCAATATTTTAAGAAAAACACTTTGTTAATACATCATAAACCTGTTCCTACAACTGAGAACCTATTTTAATGTGACTTAACTATCATTCTTTTCCTCATTTTCTTCCCAGAACTTTTCTATTAAAGGAGTCTTCATAATTAAGAAAAGAGTGTCCAGGCATGCTCTGCCTGACCTTGTTAATTGGTTCCATGAAAGCACAATACCTTTAGGTGAAATGATGTTGCATGGGACTGTCAGTACTGTAGAAATGTCATAAATGAGTGATCGACTGCATGACTTTATGATGGGGCTTGTGTTTAATGCATCTATTATAACATAAATTAGGACAGTATTAGCTTTGATATGCCTGTATACGATTATGGAGCAGAAAAACAACTTGAGAAATCATGTCAAGCTATATAGCTTCAGTCAATGGGAAAGACAACATATTTAATTTTAAGTTTAGTCCAAACTAGACAATCTTAATATGCTCATTCGTAATATCCTCTTATTTTCAGCTTTTTATTTCAGTTATTTGAGTAGGAGCAAGAAAGCAAAAACTGTCAAAAATCCTAAGTTGTACAATACCATCCTAATTCTCTTTAATGCTGTAATACAAACCTACTTTTAAACACAAATGTTGTTCACATATTTAAATCTCTTGAGTAAAGCAACAGCCAGTGGAAAATTAGGCATTAAAAATCCTCCTTTTCTTAATCTCATTATATTTAACTTTTTTCCTTCCTTTTCAGATACTCAAAAATATTACCTGGTATTCAGAACGGGTTTTAACAGAGATCTCACTGGGTAGTCTTCTGATATTGGTGGTAATAAGAACCATTCAGTACAACATGACAAGGACAAGGGTATGCATTTTACAACATTTTCCTTTGACATAATTTGTTTATCATTTTGCATCTCCAAGTAAAGCTAGAATTTTTAAAATGGTAATACTTTCATGAAATAGAATATGAAAAAGTAAGATTGTCTCATGACCATTGTATTTTATGATTCTTTGCTTTCCTGGGAGTAATGGCTGTATATAGTGCCTTTATTCAACAGCGATCTTCAGTATCTTTAATCAATAATACTTGATCAAAAGGATCTAACAGAAGAGTTGGGGTGAAGCATTAATTTTAAACTTAGAGAAAAGAATGTAGCTTATCATTTAAATATGTTTGTCAAGGATGGTGAGAGATTCTACTTGGTGTAGGATATCTCTGGTGAACTAAGAAAAGAAATTTGCCTTTATCAAGTGTCAGCAATGAAATGCCCCAAGAAAAAAGTACTAATGGGCGGAAGTGGAGTGGGAGGAGGATAGGAAATTTCAAGAAGAAAAGGAAAATTTGTACCTTAAGCTAGCTATGTATACATTAGTCCTCCAGATAGCTTTAAGTGCTCAGTAGAAATACTCTTGTGAACAAGATGCCTAGCAATGAGAAAATGAGCACAGCTGATGAATTCAGAGTTATTTCCCTAATGTAGACAGGTGTAAAATGTGGTCATGGTTGGACTCACCTCTCCCATAATTCACTTTTTATAAAATATAACTAAGTATGTCTTTCATTTCTGTTTTCTGACAGGACAAATACCTTCACACAAATTGTTTAGCAGCTTTAGCAAATATGTCAGCACAATTTCGTTCACTTCATCAATATGCTGCCCAGAGAATTATCAGGTAAATAAGCTTTTGTTAAAGTGTAGAATTTCATCTTAAAACTGAGACTTCTTTTAAACTAATGTCATCTATAACTTTACATTTTCTCAATCTAATTTGTTTGGATTTTTGGTTTAGATTGAAACTTCATCTTTATGTTCACCTCTGGTTTTCCCCCCAAAAATCAGAGTATTAAAATTCAGCACCTGTATAAAATTTTTTGATAATTTTTTCTCCTTTTTATCTGTGTAATGGCTTTTATTAATTCTGTATTCCTCAATGGCAATCTGAGTTAAACTTGTCATTATCTGTGTTGTACATTAACTTTTTACAGCACTTGAAGTGTTTACCTGTATTTATTTCAAAGAAGATAATCTGTTTAAGGTTTTTTTTCCCCCTCAAACCTACATTGACAAGTTAACAGGTTATCAAGTAAATTATAAATCTCAGTTTCAGGGATTTTCAAGTATTGCATTGAGATAATTCTAACTACTGCTTTTCCCTTTCTCCCAGGATATACTCAGTATAATTTTAATATTTTTCAAGTTAAAACAATTTTATAATTCAGTTAAGTAAGATTAGATGTGTGTGCATAGGATATATATCTTGCTTTGAGAGAATTGTGGTTTTTCTCCCCCTCAAAAAAAAAAACCCACCAAGTAAACATTTGTTAAACCCCTATTATGTGCCAGAAACTGTGCTAAGTGCTGGGAATACAAAAAGGCAAAAGATGGTCCCTGCCCTCAAGGAGCTTACAGTCTGATGGAGGAGCTTACAATCTCAAGATCCTTAACCTCTCACCTCTGTGTTTCTGGCTATTGTAGGTGATCAGCAGGACACTGTTCTTTACTCTAGCCCAATACAAATCTCACCTTTAGTCCTTCGATTAGGAACTTATATTAACTTGGAGTTATTTTGGCAATTGCTCTAATTCATTCTAAATCTTAAACATTTGTGAATCTATGTGCCATACCTCCTGGTTAAATTTAGACACATGAAAATATAAAAGATGATATAATTTTTTTTACTATAATTCTCTTACCTATCTTTGTGACTTCAGTCTGTAAAACACACCAATTAATGATTACATGCTAGTTTATTCATTATAATATAGATACTCCCTTTCTTGTTTTCATGACTTGAGAGCATCCTTCTTAATTTCATTTCTTTCTATTCCATACTGTTCTCATCTCCTCCTCCTTTTCCCCTAAAAAAATTAACAATGAATTTTCGTCATATATCAACCATCTAGAACTCTATTTAGAAGGCAAATTTACTTCTTGATTTTCTTTAAACTCTGTTATTACCTAGTCTTAGATTTGGAAATCCTTGTGAGTTTCAAACTCATTTGAGGGATAGTATAGTTGAATGATTTTATTTTAACCTACATTTAGAGATTTTAAAAATAACTAACAGTCCATTTATGTATTTAGAGACTTGTAGGTAATTGGGTAGCTAGGTGGTGCAGTGGATAGAGTGCTGGGTGTGAAGGCAAGAAGACCTGAGTTCAAATCCAGTGTCAGATGCTTTCTAACTTTATGACCCTGGGCAAGTCACTTAACCTCTCTGTGCCTCTGTGAATTGCAAAAGGGGATAATAATAGCATTTAACTCCCAGGATTGTTGTGTGGATCAAATGAGATAATTTGTTAAAAAAAAAAAGGCTTAGCACATTACCTTTCACATAGTAGGTGCTATATCAATGTTTATTCCCTTTCCTAGGGGTTCTTAACCTTTCTATGTCATAGAACTTTGTTGGTTTAGTGGAGCCTATCGATCCCTTCTCAGAGTAATGTTTTTAAATGCATAAAATAAAATATATAGGATTGTACAGAAAGCCAGTTGTGTTGAAATACAGTCAGTCGATGAGAAGACTGCAACCATATATGATTTAGCAGGAGGTATAATAACTATAGTAATTTTTAAGTAGTGATGAGCATAAATAATATCTTGAGATATATCTAGCAGCCGTGATATGTTATGAAAAGATTTGTGATTTCTCTTGGTGGCAGAGTCATTGTGGTTTATTGCCTACATTCATAACAAAAGGAAATACTACATTTCATTTAGAGTTTGGTGAAAATAAAGATGCAGTTTTTTTCTCATCCAAGTTCATGGACTCCTTAAATCCTTGGACCCTAGGACTCTTGTCTTAGCAAAAGAATGATGTTGCTTACAAAACTTAGTCATTTGAGGGCCTAAAGAATCACAATTTGAGCAGGTAGGTGGCATAGTGGATAGAGCACTGGCCCTGGAGTCAGGAGGACATGAGTTCAAATCCGGCCTCAGACACATAACACTTATTAGCTGTGTGACTCTGAGCAAGTCACTTAACCCCAATTGCCTCACCAAAAAAAAAAACCAGAACAAAACAAAAAAAAACAAATCACAATTGTCTTGTTGTTTTTCAGTAGTTCAGTTGTGTCTGTCTCTTTGTTGACCCCATTTGGGGTATTCTTGGAAAGGATTCTGTAGTAGTTTGCCATTTCCTTCTCTAGTAAATTGGGGCAACTAGGTGGTGCAGTGACTAGAGTGCCTGACCTGGAGTCAGGAAGACTCATCTTCCTGAATTCAAATCTGGCCTCAGACATTTACTAGCTGGGTGATCCCAAACAAGTCACCTAACACTTTGCTTCAGTTTCCTCATCTGTAAAATGAACTGGAGAAGAAATGGCAAACCACTCCAGTATCTCTGCCAAGAAAACCCCAAATGGAGTCACAAAAAGCTGAATGAGACTGAACAACAGCAGCATCTTCAGCTTAAGGCAAACTGAAGTTAAGTGACTTGCCCAAGGTGATACAGTTAGTGGGTCTGAGGATGAATTTGAACTGAAGCTGTCCTTACTCCTTTCTTCCTTACTCCAGGTCCAGGTTTAAAATCATTGCTTAATGACTGAAGAATTTAAAATTAAAATGATCCTAAATTAACCATAAGGGATATGGTTATCCTGAGCAAAAGGGATATCCTGAACAACAAAGAAAATATTAAAGTAGTAATTGTCATTGATTTACTTTGCTTGGTTCATAAGTAGCTAGGTGACACAGTAGATACAGCACTACTCCTTGAGTCAGGGAGACCAGAGGACAAATCCATCTTCACATACTTACTAGCAGTGTGACCTGGGCAAGTCACTTAATCTGTTTGCCTCAGTTTCTTCATCTGTAAAATGGAGATAATAATAGCACCTACTACCCAGCATTATTGTGGGGATCAAATGAGATCATATTTACAAAATGCTTAGCACCATGCCTGGCACATAACAGGTGCTATATAAACACTTATTCTCTTCCTTTTCCCTTCCCCATAAGGGGGGAAAAACTGCAAATGGGAAAAAAAAACTGCAAATGGGAAACTCTTCTTTATAGTATAGGAGAAAGAACACTGGACTTGAGATCTAATGACATACTGGCTTCATCGTTTACTGTGTGACCTTGGGCAGTCAGTTTGCCTTAGTTTCTCTATTTACAAAAATGAAGACAGTAATCCTGGCACTACTTATTACACCAGGTTGTTGTGAGAAAAGAACTTTGTGAATTGCAAAGCACTCCATAAATATGAGCTGCCATTTTCATTTTCCATATTCAATTCTTCCTTCCTATTAATTTATTGGAACTAGCTCCATAAATCTGTAGGCTTTCCTTGGTCCTCCATTTCCTCTTGTATAAAATGAGTGAATTGGACTAGATAATTTCTAAGTCCTTTTAAATTTAAAAATGCTATGAGTTGGGACAGCTAGAGAACACTTTGGAAAGATGTTGTAGTAGTTTGCCATTTCCTGAAGTCAGGAGGACCTTATAGTTGGCACAATAGAGAACACCTTGGAAAGATGCTGTAGTAGTTTGCCATTTCCTGAAGTCAGGAGGACCTGAGTTCAAATCCAGCCTCAGACACTTAACTAGCTGTGTGACCCTGGGCAAGTCACTTAATCCCAATTGCCACTAAAAAATGCTATGAGTCCTTCATGAGTCTCTGGTTTGTTCATTTAAAAAGGAAGACAGGTAAACCCCAGGTAGTAGTTTCTACTTGCATTTCTACTTGACAACTTATTTATTACTCTTTATTTTATTTATCCTGCTTCACACTCTTCTTCCTCTCTCATCTCACCTAAATTATGAATGCAACATATGTGTGTGGGGTTGGGGAGTTGGGGGGAGTTAAGTCCTAGAAGGAGATTTTTTTAAACCACGTGAGAACTCTAAACAATCAACAAGCATTTATTAAGCACTTGCTATATGCTAGACAAAAATGAAATATTATCTCTCCCCAAAGAGCTTGTGTTCCCTCAGAGAAGGCAATGGGATATGTGTATGTATGTGTGCATGTGTGCATGTGTGCTTGTGTGCATGTGTGCTTGTGTGCATGTGTGTGTGTATGTGTATATGTGTGTAAATTAATAGAAGGTAATTTTTTTTCTTTGGTGATGGAGAGGACACTAGTTTTCTGTTCATCCCAGGAAACTTCCCTTTTGGATGTAAGCCTGGCCTAAGTGATGCGAGCTAATTAGCCAGTTCTAGGCTCCCTTTCTCTCTCCTTCCACTCTGTGGTAGATTCCACTAATCTCTTGGGCCCCAAGCTGAGTTGTGATCTTTGAGCCATGATGAAATGCCTCAGACAGTACTTTGCCCACAGTCACCACGTGCGCGAACATCTTCTGTGCTTTATCTCATTGGATCCTCACAAATACTGTAAAGTAATTACTTTGAGGATTATCCCCATTTTATATCTAAGGAAACTGAGACTGAGAGTTTAAGTGATTTCATGAATCAGCGCAAGAATTTGTTCAGCTCTCTTACCACCCACCAGACCAAGGTCAGTACAAACATAAAAATGAACCGTGTCTTGCCCTCAAGAAGCTTACATTGTATTAGGAAAGACAGTCTGTTCCTAAATAAGAATATATACAATATACGTAAAATAAGTGCAAAAAACATTTTGGCAGGGAAGGCATCAGCTCCTGGAGAGTGGCTCTGTATAGAAAAGGGTGTGCAGACTGATTTTTAAAGGAAGCAAGGGTTGACTTT